AGAGTGCATATATGTGTGTGCACCCCCGCCACCCTCCGATCCATAAGTGTGTCCCTGCAGCTATTGTGACTCTGAGCTACAGCAGGACAGAAGGCCTCACACAAACAATGTTTTCTCCCTTTTGTTTCTCACCAGCCTTTCTTCTTTAGCGCTCCATCGCAATCTACTGGCCTCCTTTGTATCGATTCCCCTCATTCAGCAGCTCGTCAGCCTCTTTCCGCTGGTTTATATGCTCTTTTTCCATGAAACACCTCCCCCGCTGCAGCACCGGTCCCTCTGCTGGCATCCACCACAGTGTGAGAACGCAGAGCACCTCTTGGAGTGATGCTGCTCGTTAAAGACAGCTAATTGATTGAGAATGTAATTAGTGCGACAATCGGAAAGGGGAAATCAATATGTTCGAAGTCAGAGGAACCACATCAGGCAGGACAAAACAGAGAGGAGCAGAGAGACAGTTGGTGAACATACTGTCACCTACAAAGAAAAGAAACCAAGCTTTGAGCCACTAGCTTTTTTGTTGTGAGTCAGATGTTAGTTCATTAACACTTTGATGATAAACTAAATTAAGTGGCTTAAGAGGTCAAAGATGTTTGTCTGAAAATGTTAACGTTGTTGACTGGAAAAAAATAAAAATGCAACAGAAACATCAAACTAAAAAGCTTCAATATTACAGAGTAGCCTGAGTTTTGAAAAAAAACAGTGCTTTGTTTTTACGTCCTCCAGTTAAACGTTTTGAATGGCCTAACAACAAACATAACATGATATCTAGTCTACTCCCTCATGGACAACCTGGTTGGATCTTAATATGGAGGCACAATAATCTGGCTTCAGCTAAAAAAAAAATCTCAAATGAACAACTTTGCCTTTAAGTTCAAAAGATAAATAATATGATCTGCCTTGGGATTTAGTATTTCTGCCCTTCACTTGAAATAAGACAGCAGAGCTGAGTTTTTTCTTATTTTAAACATGAGTCTTATTATTACACAGGCAAATGGTCTGACTCAGCTGATCAAAACAAGACTTAATTAATTCATAATTCTGGTTATTTTAATTCAATTCAGTCCAGTTTATTCATATATTGCCATCTCTCTGCGCATCATCTGAAAACATGTTACAGAGACAGTTTAATCAAATATAATCAGATTAGTAAAAGGGTTTTCCAAGCAAAACCAGCTGGTTGCATTGAGTAATTAACTTTGAAGAATACACCAATCCTGGAAAGTAGATAAACAACCCCCAGAAAGGGCGTGGGTCTTTGGGATGTTTGTATCAGAGGTGAAGATTGTGCTGAACAACGTTGTATTGAAAATAATCCTCCCTGAGGTCAGAGGTTGAACAAGAATAGTCAACTGGTCTTGTTTTTTTAAGAGAATCTGCCACTACACTTGTATTGCATTGTTGCTCCTACAGCAAGACCTCACTTAAAATATGCATGCAGCGACAGGGGAGAGAAAAAAACTTGCTTTTAACAGGGTGAAACTTCCAGCAGAACCAGGCTCAGTGTGAGTGCCCTTCTGCCGAGACAGACTGGGGATTGAAGAAGATGGAAGCAGACATTCAAAAGGAAGACAGAAGCACTGATCAATGAATGCTTTCTACTGTATGTTAGAAAAGATAGTGGTAAACTAGCTCCATTGGTGACTGTCTAGGAAAGAAACAGTTAAGCAGATGAGCGCTGAGCCAGTTTTCATGTCAACAAGGATACAAGAGAGCACATCCAGTTAATCCTAGTAAAAGCTAAGGCCATACAGTAGCTATATCTAGGAAAGAAAAAATAATAAGCACTAAAACAAGGCACAACTTCATGACCTGTAAAGGTAAATGGCCTGTACATATACAGCACTTTTTCAAATCATAAGACTTCACCTAGACACTTGACACTACATTCAGTCTTTCACAAAGACTCGCACACTGATGGTGGGAAGCTACATTGTAGCCACAGCTGCCCTCGAGCCCACTGCCAGAAGCGAAACCGCCATACACAGGTGCCACCGGACCCTCTGACCATCAGCCAAGCTTATGTCTCCCTCCAGGATGCTGTCTTGGCCACACAGAACCAGACCAGGAAAGACAAAGTGTTGATGGCAGCAGCACAGCTGATATTTCTCTATAGGATTGTGTTACAGCCAAACAGGGACTGACCAGACCAGGTTATAGTACTATAATGAGAAAAAGAGAGAACATAAAGTTCAAAGTTGAACTAACAAATACTACAGAATGGGGGAGAATAGAGATAGAATGAAGCAGGATGATGAATAAGGGGTCCCTATGTCCTCCAGCAGTCTAAACCTATAGCAGCATAACTATAGAGATAGCTCAGGATAACCTGAGCTACTCCAACTATAAACTTTGACAAAAAGAAAAGTTTTAAGTTTTATACGTAGACTTAAAAATAGACAGGGTCACATCCTCACGGACTAAAACTGGTAGTTGGTTCCATAGGAGAGGAAATGTTTCCTCCAATTCTACTTTTGGAGGAAATTTTAGGAACCACAAGTAAATCAGCAGACTGACAGTGAAGTGCTCTCTTAGGAACATCTATCAGGAACAATCAAACCTCCAGTATGAGATGTAGCTTGGTTTTGTTTAGGGATTTATATGTGAGAAGGAGGAATTTAAATTTTATTTCAGGTAGGAGACCAATGAAGGGAAGCAAAAAAGGAAGGAAGGAGAAATATGATCTCTCCTTTTAATTTTCATCAGAACTCTGGATGCAGCATTTTGGATCAGTTGAAGGCTTTTAATGATGATTTGTGAAATCAACAAATGCATGGAATAGTTTCTCAGCATCACCCCTTGAAAAGATATTTCTCATTTTTGCAATATTTTGGAGAGGAATTAAGGAAATTCTAGAAACCTTTTTGATTTGTGATTTAAATAACAGGACATGATTAAAAATAACACCAAGATTATTAACTTTTACATCTTTATTATCTCTATTTAATCCCTATTTAATCTCCATTTAGTAACATCAGCATAACAATGGAAATTAATCCTATGCTGTTTGATAAATCCACCAATTGGGAGGCAAACCTGGAGTATGAGGAAGATTTATCATTATCCTGTACGATCTGAAAACTGTCAGACAAATAAGATTTATAATTCCTATCGACTGGATCAAATGCAGCACTGAGATCAATCAGGACAAGTACAGATCCAAGTCCATTATCTGAGGCCATGAGAATATCATTTGTGACTTTCATCAGAGCTTTCAGTGCCTTGGTGAGCTCCAAAACCAGATTGAAACTCTTCAAAAAGTTTATTATGGTGTAAGTGCCAACACTCCTGTTTTAGCAACTATTTCCTTAGGAATTTTAGATAAGAAAGGAAGATTAGATATAGGTCTGAAATAACCAAGTCATCAGTGCAAAGAGACAATTTCTTAAGTAAATGTTTAATTAGAGCTACCTATTATGGACAAATAATTAATATTTAAAGTTGAGGTGGAAATCAGAGGGAATACTTCCTTAAAAAACCTTTTTGGAACTGGATTAAACATACAGGTTGAAAGCTTTGATGAAGGTCGTGATTTTGCTAACTCTGAAAGCTCAACTGAATTAAAACCGTCAAACCACAGTTTATGTTTTATATTTATCTTCAGGGCTGTCTCACCCTTCTTTCAGAGAGTAAACAAGTCATATTAAGAGAGGTACATTTTTTTATTTTATAGAATGAGGCATATTTGTAAAGAATCCCATAAAATCATTAAGAGCAGGTGGGATGGACGGTTCCACAGAGCTATGGCACTGGGTGAGTTTGGCAAATGTATTAAAAAGCTATGTAGGATTCTTCTTATTCTCCTCCATTAATGAGGAGAAATATGCTTCTCTTGATTTAAGAAGTGTAATTTTATACAGCAGTGAACTGTTTTTTGTTCCAGATTAAGTAGGATTCTTGTAAACATATGGAGCATAATTTTCTCTTCAGTTTTTTAGTATTATACTTCAAAGTACACAACTCTGTATTAAACCAAGGAGCCAAACTCCTATTAATAAATTCCTTCGGACTAAAAGAAGTCTAAAGCAGAGAAGAAGTAACCCAATCAACAACACCATCAATTTCTGAAGGGGAATAAATTAAACTGTTGCCTCTGCAGTATTATTCTGTAAGGAGTTAAAAATTGAAGATAGCCCTTAAAGTATATTTAGTACATCATTTGAGAAGTGTTTGGTAAAGAAGTAGTTTTTTTTTTTTTTTTTTTAATAAAGGCCCTCTAACCACCATCAGTAGGAAATCTGAGTGAGGTGTTTTGCCCAAGGACTGAGATTGAGGGATCTGGGGTTCCAACTGGCAACCCTCCAGTGTTATCCTACTACCTTTGGCCTACTAATCCATTTCACAAAAAAACTGTGTTTATTTATTTGATCAAAATTTACAGAATGGAAGGTAGAACAACATTTGTCATGTTCTGCAGTGAGATATTGAAAGAGTGTGTTTTATTTGGTTTGTTTAGTACCGGTTACCTTTGACAACATGCTTACAGGAAATTGGGCCAAGAGAGAGAGAGGGAAGACTTTCAGATTAGATTTCAGTCGTGACTTAAACCTGTAGTTTCTGAATGTATGTCTTGTAGATTGAGATTAAACTTTGTTTCCTTTTGAAATAATGATTTTATATAGGAAATGTGATATATATGAGGCTGGAGGGCCCTCTTGCCATCAACCTAATCTTTATCTCGCTATAGTAGAGGGAGGGAGGAAGGTCTGACCTACAGCTGATCTGGAGAAATCTGACTGAAGTCAATCTGTTGAAGGATACTAAGAATTCTCCATAATGTTCTTTATCTTATGGATGGATCCACTTACAACAGCCTGCAAATGCGAAGCTAAGTTCATCATTTTTGTCTGGCTGAAACTGAACTGAAAAAACAAAAACATTTCTTCCCCTTTCGCTCAAAGTGCAGCTTGGGACCACAGATGGGTTTTTAGGAAATTAACACAAGAATAAAAATCTCTGCTGCAGCAGAAAGGAGAGGGATTCACAGAAAGAAAATAAGTTTCAATATTTGCATTTTTTACAACAGAAATTTTATTTTAAATATTTGCAGAAAAGCCTTGTGGCCAACAGAGATATTAATTTATTCAGGACTTTCATAAAAACAGTATCAGATGGAAAAAGTCTTTATGAATCAGTCTGAGGTGAGAGCTGATGATCCCTGAAGATGCTCCTCATCTTTGCTCCTCTCAAACAAACGAACAGATTCTGATCTTGTGATTCATCCCACTGAGATTCCTCCTGTAAGCAGCTTCCAGATTATCTCCTGCTGCACCTCTTTCCAACTGACTGCAGGTAGTAAATAAAGTCGGAACGGCTCAGGTTCCTGGTTCCAGCAACTGTCTGTGTCTGCAGCCTTAGATCTGAGCAGCTGGAGAGTCCTCAGGCTGCTCCTCCTTCTGCATCCTCTGCTGTGCGTCTTTTCTGCCCCCTGCTGGTGAGGCGGCAGACTGGGAGTCCTGCTGGGAGAGCTGAGAGAGGAGGAGGTCTACACTCTGGAGCAGAACAGATTCCAGGACTTTCTTCTCCTCAGAAGTAAACCGACTCAGGACGTGACGCTCCACTGAGGTTTTCCCTGAAGGCCGGCCGATCCCGACTCTGAGTCTGAGCATCACCTGGAGACAGAGGGACAAACATTCTCAAAAGTTTCTAATGTTTTTATTTCTTCTGGTAAAGCAGGATTTAATTCAGTAAATAAATGTCATAGAAATGTGTGTTCAGTGTAAAGTCCTGGTGGGAGTTTCTTACATCGGTCTGAAGACAGTCAACACACGAGCGTACTCCATTGTGACCCCTGGAAAGAAAAACAATTTGGTGTTAAAGTTTATTCTGCTTAAAAGTAAAACTGTTCCTTTGCTGAAGAACAGTGTAAAAAATCATAAAAGAAGATCCCTCATAATCTTAACCATTCAGAGATTTTGAAGACCTAAAATAGGAACTAAAAACAACATCGGCTTATATGAAGTGGCTGCTCAGTGGCGCAGTGGGTAGCTACAAGGTTCTGGGTTAGATTCCCGGCCCAGGGTCTTTCTGCATGGAGTTTGCATGTTCTCCCTGAGCATGCCATGCGTGGGTTCTCTCTGGGTACTCCGGCTTCCTCCCACAGTCCAAAAACATGACTGTTAGGTTAATTGGCTTCTCTAAATTCTCCTTAAGTGTGTGTGAATAGTTGTTTATCTTGTTTGTCTCCGCGTTGCCCTGCGATGGACTGGTGACCTGTCCACTGTGTACCCTGCCTCTCGCCCATTGACAGCTGGAGACAGGCACCAGTAGCCCTCGCGACCCCACTTAGGATTAAGCGTGTTAGAAGATGGATGGCTTATATGAAGTGAATGGTTACATTATTTCTGCAAGCAGACAATTCATTTTCAAACTGAAATTTTAAAAAAATGACCCTTTTTAATCAAAACTGGTTTTGGGAGAGACTAAAAGTGTCACATGCAGTTATGACTAAAATGTGACTAAAGCTAGTTTTCATCCTGAAAACAAAAACTAAAACTAAATCTAAGATGGCCGTCAAAAACAACACTGGTTTACAGTTACGTTTTTTCAAATTTTACATCATTTCCTTTTATTTCTTTTTTGGACCCTTTCCTGGCCTGATCCTGGATCCTTGCTTCGCCGAGCAAAGTGGACCTCTGCTCTCCAGCCTGGACCCACAGAGAATGGCTTTATCAAATATGGACCAGGAAGCCCTTTATCACAGCTGCACAAAAGCAATAAACCAAAGAACCATTGTATCTCATAATATAACGGCTTTCTTCACATAATAATACGACTTTATTCTCGTAATAATACGACTTTATTCTCGTAATAA